AAAAATATTTTATAAAATCGAAATGAGATTCTTTACAAATTTACTATAAAATTGCACTGATTATGGCTAATTCTATTTTTTCATGAATAACATAATGTTAGATGGCTCAAGAAATTAGGAAGTGCTCCAGAGCTATCTCGTCTAGTGCCAATTAATAGGGAGTAGAACATTAAGACATAATTATGTCTCGCCACAATCTTTGTAAAGGAGACAAAAAGTTCGGAGATAATAAATTATATCGGAAAAAGAAAGGAGGTAAAATATAAGAGATTGTCTCAGATACTGGAACAAAACAGAAATTCAATCCGAATGGATTATATAAGCACTGATTACACGGAGCTCTATTTAAAATCTATGGTGATATATTTTTTAACAAATTATTTGGGTCACTGTGGAAATAAATAAAATTAAAATTGGAGTAAAAGTTTAATAATATCAGGATATCTTCATTTATTTATATTTAACAAATAATTTGTAATAAATTCACAAAATCTCATCAAAAATGATTAAGTCTTCTCCCTTGTTATAATTCAGATCAGCTAAAAAGCATCTTATAAAGAAGCATTTCCTGAAAGAATAAACTTTAAGATCAAAGCCAGCTTCATTTCACAGAGATACTTTGTCTTGAGCTTAACAGACATTGTAGTTTTAAATCTAGAGAGCTTTTTGCGATTTATTTTATTTACCATATGTGTTAATTATATTTAGTGATTTAAATATAGATTTTGTTTGACCTTGTTCTCGCAACTTGGTCTCAGCATCAAAGAAAACTTGAGGAACATACCTAGTCCTGTGTCCTCTGCCAAATTATTCATAGTTTCCAGCTTCAGACCACTGACTTGGCACATTTCAAAACGTTTCGCCTGCATCATAGTCGGCCTCGTCAGTGAGAGGCGCCATCGCTAGCACAGAGTTACAACTTACCAACGTAGCATCATACATGCTACATAAGCGTTTTAGCAAAATTAAACATTGAATGGGAAACGGTTAAAACGTCAAGGGGATTGTCTTCCCTTGTCACTTTGATGAGTTGTAATTCTGTGCTAATGAGGGCGTCTTTCACTGACGATGCCGGCGAAACGTTTGTGAATGTACCAAGTCAATGGTCCGAATCTGTGGCAGAGGGCACAAGACTAAATACGTTCCGCAAGGTCTCTATGATGTTGCGACCAAGTTGCAAAAGCAAGCAATAATAGGCTAAAGGAGACTGCGACCAAACAGGAGGTCACATCATCTTGGTCTCCATTTCTACTATTTATATATAAATTATTCAGTTTATCAGTTATTTGGTGCTTATTTATCTAGCGAAACTCCATTCCACCTATTATTTAAATAAATTGCAAATGACTTCTTCAACATATCCAAGTCTGTTGGCA